AATCGCTGTTGCGTTCTGCGGTGAGGTGGTGGAACGAACCCGCTGTGTTACGAGTACATTTAACCAATGCGAAATAACGTTGATTTTAATTCCTGTCGGAGGAATGATCTGGGTGGCACGTAAAAGTATTGGACGAATGGTTTGGGACTCCAGGCGCATGTATGTCTGCCAGCGTTTTAAACGTCCCGTTACAATTGTGGGAGTGACTAAACACGTTAAATGGTTTGCGCCTTCGGCACAGAATGAGCGTTATGTGTAGACTCTTCGCCGACCGTCTGCCAGCGAGCGCGAAAATCGGTCTGGCTGGTCATAGGCTCGGTAATAGTGTTGGAAATCAAAAACAATAAAAAAAACTGGTAGCAGAGTGCAAATTTTCTGAAGTGGAGTACAAAAATATCCGATTGCCGTCGGTCATTACAATTTTATTTATATTATATTTGAGAAATAGCACTACAATGGGTGGTGCTCACCAAAAGCACAACTTTTCATATACAGCAATTCATGTAAAAGCACTTAAGATGAAAGGAAACATCAGTGCTAAACATGGTACACTGAAACAACATGGTCTCATGCTCTGTACTAGGAAACACAGGTGCATATATATATATATATATATATATATATATATATATAATATATAATATAATATATATGGGTTTGCAATTTATGACAGGCTGTGTGTGGTAACCGCCCTCTAAAACGGTGGGTGGTTACACCGGGCTTCAACACCCTTCAACATGGAGGGTGACTACGATACGCACAGCCAGAGAGAAATGGTACACAAAAAATGCGACTGAACGTGCCCCAGACGGCCATCTACTTACACTCAACCACGATCACGCTACTCACGCTCCACCACGGTCACGCTACTCACGCTCCACCAGCTAACTGGTTTTAAAAGCGGCTAAACATTCATGTCCTCCACCTTCCTAACACATGAGGCCAGCACGTCACAGCCGAATAATAGAAACAGGCAAGCAAGCACTCTTAACCGATTTACCGAGCCAGGGCTAGTGCAACGCCTGACAGACCCGTCCAGGTCGACCAAAAGGGATCGGAGTCAGTCACTCCACTGACCCGGCGAATAAAACAATGTATTCATGGATTTTGATGTGCTGCAACCCATATCACTGCGAAATATGATAATCTATGTTGCAATTCATTGATGGTTCTGTCCTATAAACCCTTCTTAATTTGCCGGGCCAAAGATATGGATGCATGTCATTCTGGTGTCCTGGTGTTTTTGATGGAGTGAGATGGCTGTCTCCGAACGTTTTTTTTGACCATTTACAGCAACGGTTTTCGACTTAAAAGTATATTTTTTTAAAGCCTGAAATACCGGCGTTTAATTCACATCCTGAAAGTGACAAATTTAAACTTGACTTAAATCCCCAGCTGCCATTAGATTTTGTGTACTCCGAATACCAGGAAGCGGCCAAAAATCCAACCACAGGACGGTTCTGCATGAATTCTAATAAGCCCTTCGTGATGACCGTGATGCCCATCTCTATACAGCTTCCTCCAACTGTTAACAAATCTGTTGAAGGGCATGAGCGCGAGCAGAATATTTATGCTCCTCACAACATCAAAATTGACGACAGGCACGAGGAGGCGATGAGGCGAATTTCAGTCGCGTCACGAGGAGGTCACGGGGAGGCGGATCATTAAAACCAATTGGAGAGTTTTGCCATGTTCAACCTCCAAGCTGAGGTGGGAGGCGGGCGCAAACCGCTGAATAGTTGATACGTTTCCGACGCCGAAGTGCGAATGGTTCTCTTATTTGCATTGCCACGACTCAGTGGTGGCGCGTGAGTAAGCGGGCCGTTTGTGGTAGGTGCTTCGTTGTGTGGTTTTCTATGACCGTTCGTTGCATCCTTGGCAATTAATGCGGTTCGTCGTCAATGGAAGGTTAAGTTTGTTCGAGTTTTTCGCATTTCCATACATTATTTATCGTATACGTAGGTGGCAACACGGGCTGCTTGCTATTGGGCATCTTAGTCTGGTAGGTGCAAGATTTGTGCTCTGGCAGATATGAATGCATTGCTCATGATTGCTCTAACTAAAAAGTCTAACATTGGTCTAACTAAATCGGAAAGTACGTCTGTGAGTCGAAGGAAAGCCGTTTACGTTGTAGTGTGTCAGTTGGTAACGTGTTGTTCTGTCAGATTCTTGAAGTATGTACCCTGCTGACATGGGTAGCCGGGGGTAATTCGAATTAAGATCGGAAACGGATCATGCGACGTTAGACCTGTCGCCGGGGTGCGTTTACATGGGCGAGACCGGATTTACGTCTAATTAACGGTCGATATTTCGATCTCGCTTAGTTCGTTTCACGGATGTTTGGTGAATGTGTTTGGCGAATGGGCGAAACTGTGCTTTTGAGGCAAACTGAATAAAAAAGCCGGTACTCCTGCGTATGGATGGCGAATGACAAGAGCCATGGTGGGCGGGAGACGGCTTTGAGGGCGATGGTGGAAGATGGACTCTTCTGGAAAAACGGTCTGTGCGGGTCTCAGGCTTTATAGCTACAGCACAAGTCATCACTTAAAACACAAGAGTTGCGTGTTCAGCACTGCCAAATCTGTCCCGTAGTTAGTGCTATATGAAAATGTTACTAGGGGACATGAGACATGTTAACATTTTGCATTGCAAGGAGCACGATCACCGAAATTTGCACAAAACAGGAAAACTGATAAACACATATTCCAGTGTATATTTCTGCTAGAGACGGTTTCTTTGATCACAGGTATTCAATCAAGAATGACAAGAAATTGAACTGGTAAATGAAACTATAAGCTGCTTCATGGCAATGACAGAGATGATGTTCAATTAACATATGTTAGGCCATCCATTCATGACAGTAGCTGCAAAAAGTGCTAGCAAGGCTACTGCTTCCCATTCTGCAATGTGCACCATGGCTTGCTGTTCTGTCGAACATTATTCAGGATGACATTTAAGATACACCTGGAGCCTGTGACACCGAAATATTTGCTGCCATGCAATGGCTAGCAGGAAATCAGCATTGTCTTGTATTGGCCAGTTGCACTCACAAACTAGCCACAGCCTGATCAGGTGGGCCACCCAGCATCATGTCATCTACTTTGTGCAGCCCAAGAAACATATTGCCTACTCCCACACTAATCCATTTATGAGCAGCTTGCAACAGTGAGCTAAGCTACGGAAGTAACTCATGAATGCTACACAGTTAGTGGCAAAGCAGGGCATACCTGAGGGCCGCATTGCCATTCAAACTTGGCATGGACTGGCGAGTCAGAATGCAGCTACTTATAGTTATGGGCGCAAAATGACCACCACAGTCGACGCAACCGAAAACCAATGAACAACAATGCAGCTATTTGCCTTTTTGACATACCAGGGTTGAAATGGTGCTTTGATATCCTTGCAGTCAACAGCATTGGGCTGACATGGACTGATGGTAGGTCACACAAACAGCTGTGCTTGCACAGTCCAAAGATAATAATATGTGAACCAGCCCGAGAGCTGTGTCATGACGAAAGCAATCTTAGCTCAAAACCCATAACAAAGTATTCATTATGACAACAGTTGAAGGTGTCCGCTCCTTAACGACTCAAAGAAATAAATGCGTGCGAAGTTCTTGCCATTTGTTTCTTTCTGTTTCTTTGAGAAATTGAGACGGGGGGGATACCGATGTTATGGAGCTTGAGCGTGCCAGCGGAGGCTTGGGAGTGGCGTGGCGGTACCACCGGCACGCACGCTCGTCAACGAGCCGGCCGGGCCCCGGGGCGTCGCTAGCGCCGCTCTGACAGGCGGCCGTGATTCACGACGGGCGGCCGCTGATACGGCACAACGGCGCGCTCCGGTGTCACCGCCGAACGAGAGGCCGGTCGCGGCTCGTGTGGCCTCCGGAGCCCCTCTGCCATCGCCCACCGTCAGCCTGCCCTCTCCCCGGGGCCGCTAGCAGCGACGCGACGGAGCGTAGCGTGACGGCCGGTGCCGGAGCTCCAGGCCGCCCTCGGGCCGGACACTGGTCCCAGTGGTTGATACTAGCGTTTGTCTCCGGTTCTACGCACGGGTTGCCGCTCACTCTGTGTGTGGTGTCTGTCAGCGGCCGGCGTAGTTTCGCTCCCCTCACCCTGCGATCGAGGGGGACCGCTTTGGTCGGTCCAGATAGTCCAGCAGGCACTCGCGCATGGACGGTGCTCTTGCGCTTATGCAGTCTGCGCTTGCATAGAAGGAAGACAGTTAATCGGCTCACACGCTTGCTCCTGGGTTGTCGCGGGCGGGGAGTCAAGCGCTTCAGGTCAGGTCATCAAACACGAGTTGGGGAAGATACGGGTGGGATCCCTTGCCGTTCCGTTGGACGCGGTGAAAATGGCGAGGTGCCTCCCCGTGGTGCCCACCGTTTCTGCCAGTGTGAGAGGCGGGGCGACGCCATATAGCCCCAGCAGCTGTGTGCGTCGTGAAACTTCAATGACACAAATCGCAAGGGCAGAGATGTAGCTACCGATTCAGTTGTTTGGATGGGGTGAGGGGGGGGGGAGAAGGTCCAGTCCCCGAGTTTAAGAGGAAAGTTGCGTCAAATGTGGGCTTGAACACGTTTGTCGCATGTCTTGAAGGTAGTTGTCGCCATTTTTCGTTTCTCTCAGCCCCACCTTAACCTATCTGGCATAACTAGACGCCTGAACGAGGGTTGACGAGCCCTGGTACCCAGCATAACAGCTCGTCAGCAAAGCGTAGTTTGTTTTCGCTGAGCCCGCTGGGGTATGGTGTGTTAGAGCATTCATGGCGTTTCATAGCAATGCTTTCCGTCGTCGGCCGCTGCCAACCGGTCGATTCAGGCACAAGATCCATTTGTCGGCACCGTGGAACCCTGGCACTGTCACCAGCGCGTCATTTTCAGTGTCGTGCTGCGTCTCGGGGGTCGTGTCACCAGCGCGTCATCTTCAGTGTCGTGCCGCGTCTCGGGGGTCGTGTCAGTGTCACCAGCGCGTCATTTTCAGTGTCGTGCTGCGTCTCGGGGGTCGTGTCAGTGTCACCAGCGCGTCATGTTCAGTGTCGTGCTGCGTCTCGGGGGTCGTGTCAGTGTCACCAGCGCGTCATTTTCAGTGTCGTGCTGCGTCTCGGGGGTCGTGTCAGTGTCACCAGCGCGTCATGTTCAGTGTCGTGCTGCGTCCTCGGGGGTCGTGTCAGTGTCACCAGCGCGTCATGTTCAGTGTCGTGCTGCGTCTCGGGGGGTCGTGTCAGTGTCACCAGCGCATCATTTTCAGTGTCGTGCTG